ATCGATGATCGATCTCGTATTAGCATCGCCGTTCACCTTAACGATCATTATAGTCGCGAGGAATACTTTTACGAGCGTTCCTTGAGCTCCGTAAAGTTCTCTTGCTATTTAAAGATATAGAAACGGTTGGTAGTAATGCGATTAAAATTCTCCGAGCGACTTGTTGACACTTCTAACTCGCTCCAGTCTTCTTCCAACGACCGATTTCATTAGCTTTTTCTCCGTTCGACTCTGATCGTTCGTTCGTTCGTTCGTTGGTTGGATCGATCGATCGATCGATCGATATATCGACGCAAACGGAGACATTATTTTCTTGCGACTTCTCCCATTCATACTAGCCGTTTCTCTATAGAAAAGAAAAAAGAAAAAAAAAGAGAAGCCATAAACGTTTACGATACTTTCAAACGATTCACCTATCTCGAAGATGCTGTTGTCGTTGCGTCGTTGCAAAATGACAGGACGATTAACGTTTTCCGGCTTCTGGAGTGAACGCCGTCCTCTCGTTACCGCGTGTCAAGGTAACAAATCAGTATGGATTTATAATCCTTCGTGAAAATCTATAAATCTTTTTCTTTCTCCTGTGCCACTTTTATAGAATTTAGATATTCCTCCCTCTAAGACATGAATTACTAGCTAATCGCACGTCAGGTCTACATATATTTTATTTTCGACCCACGTCAAATACATATTTTATCTCGATTCCGTCGATTTGGTCACTGAAATGAATAAATAAAACTATGTACGAATACATGCATATGTATTTACTTGTCCGAATGAGGAAGGCTAGTTTCGAAGGAGTCGACGGGAAAGAAAAAGGAACACTTAGGATGTCTTATCGAAGATCTCTTTTTTACTCTCCTATATATATATATATATACTATACATATACTATACATATATATATACTATACATATACTATACATATATATATATATATATTATACATATACTATACATATATATATATAGGAGAGTATAGGCTTTTGTCTATCTCGGAAAATCTTCTGGATGTGGTACAAGTTCTCCTCCTTAATCGTAGGCGGAGAACATCGATCTGTCCTCTGCCTGTCTCTCTCGAAAAATATAAGGTGTATCGCTATGCAAGGAAGAAAGTTTCGTACTTGCTTTATGCATTTCTCTCTTTCTCTTTATTTCTTTCTCGAAAGATAGTAAAGAAATGTTTCGAAGCACGCGTACAGAAAACACGTGTACGACTTTTCCTTCGTGAGATCGCGCCTAGCATCCGGTTGTATATTCAGTGATGTCCATCCACGTTCAAAGTTGCCGTAAGAAAGGAAACGAAGAAATATGTTTTCCGTTATTCTTTCTCTACCATTGTGTCTCTCGCAGGAAAAATATGAAAAACGTATTCGATCGAAGAAGAAGAGAAATTATATGCATTATTTAAATAGCTAAATATAATAACGTAATACAATAGGGACATTAATATTTTAGTGAATTATTTAATGGATTGACAGGTAAAGACTGACTGTCACTGCGACGGATTATTATAGGAGGAATACGAAGGGATAATTAGTCACTGGGCTCGGACGAAGAGTTGGGGGTTGCTGCGAAGGATCATGGAAAGAGAAAGGGGGTAGGAGAGAGACGAATCTCTCGAAGCATTCGAATTCTCCCTCCTAAACGGAAATTGTGTTGGCGCGGCCTACGACGTGAACGACAAAGGCATCTCGGATGCCGGCGGTACGATTGAATTTCAATACGTAGAAGCTGTTTGGCAATGAAAGGTTTCTATGGGCTTGACGTTCGATTGTCTTTCCAGTTTTCCATTGTCCTCCCTATCGGACGAGCGTTAAAAAAAAAAATTATAAAATAATACCGTCGTCGAGTTTACCATTAAAAAATTCTAGCAGCTGGTGGTGCTCTTTCCTATCTTTCCTATATGTCACTTGGAGCGAGCGCGCGTACGACTATATATAAAATGTTACGATAAGACAACACTTATCTTATGAAAATGGGAGTAGTTTCGTCGTCCCTAGAATTTCTGACATTTAATCTTTCCTGTACGAAGTCAATTTTAATTTTTTCTTTATTTTTTTTTTTTTTCCATAAATTCATTCCAACCAATATTTTATATACGTATATATATATATATATATATATATATATATATATATATATCTATATGGATATAAGATATAAACCTTGAGTAGTAGAGACGATAGGTATCGAGTATAAATCTCATTTTGCTAGATCCACGATATTAATACGTTCCAAATAGCAACGTGTGTGAAAACGATGTAAACCGTTTCTTATCGAGAGCAAAGACTTCATTTGACGAAGTTACGAGATTCCAAGCACCCAACGCGAGTGCCTAGCACCTAGCACGAGCACCGTAGGTGATTAAAACGGGGTACTTAACGTCTATCGGAATTTAGCAAAGAAATAGAGATGGAGAGAGAAATAGAAATAGAGTTCGAGACGCGGGGTCTCGTTCCAAGTACGCGTAATAAAGGTTTCATTGCCTTATTAAGACTGCCCGAGTTGCTGCTCCAGCTAGGTGAGACGAAGAAAGATGGGAAACCGGAACTTTGAAACCAGTTTATTACTCTAAACTGTTGGTACGCACGAGGCTCGAATAAAAAGCGCTGAGCTAGTCGTATTTTCTATCAAATCTCTCTCTCTCTCTCCTCTCTCTCTATTTCTTTTTACGTGTTCGAGGTCAGGCTCTCGGAGAAGAAAAGAGAGAAGAAAGAAGATAAAAAATGGAAGAAGGGGAAGACACTGGGTCTTTCTCCTAGATACCTTTTGTCTGCGAGAAGTAGAAAAATGTCGCGTACGAGCTCCTGATCTTTCTCTCTCACTTTATTCGTCGAAGAAATCTCTCTCCCTGTTCGTTCAGCGACGTTCTGGAATATAACATTAATCCATCGAATGTTAACCAACAATAAAACTTTCTTTCGCGCGGTAAAATATATCCCATTTATATTCATATATTAAATACGCGCATACACACGCACATATATATATATATATATATATATATATATATATATATATATATATATGACAGTAATTCTTTTGCGAATTTCGCTTGGACATTTTTATCACCGGAGAAGAAAGAAAAACGAAAACAGGGAAAGAGAGAGATAGAGAAAGTTGAAAAAATAAATAACAATAAAAGAATATATTTGATTAGTGTCGCTTCGTTACTTTTTATGACGACTTATTACTCGTGTCAGTTTCTTGCACGGGAAATTCGAAAATTTCTAATATCGAACGTTGCTCCCGTTTCTGTTTAATATTTCATCGTCGTATTCGAGTCGGTCGTGAACCGTTCGAGCGGCCCAAACCATTTCAGAATCTTGTCTGCGAATCGTCTGGTATGGCTAGTACTTTCCTCTCACCTACCGTGCGACGCCCATAAAAATTAAATTAACGGCTGGCCACGTGACTTTGCCGAACGGCCTTTCTTTTTTGAGAAGGATGAAAGAAGACCGCGATATGATCAACTTCATTAGCCACGAATAAAGAATGATCGGTGGAGATTAAAGAGGAGGATCGGGAAATATTTTTTCCTTTTTCTTTCTTCTCGTCGAAAATAACGACGACGATTTCATTCGCGAGATATTTTAATTTTCTTGCTTAAAAATTTATGGGGAAAAGAAAAAAAAGCAAAGAAAAATCGCGTGATGAAAAAGATCGAAAAAAAAAAATTCGTGAAGACTCTAAAAAAAGGAAAGGAAATATCGTAGTAGAAATATCGCGCTGGATTACGAGCACTCGTGTATCATTTTTTAGATTCGGTCAATGTCAATAGATAGAAACTAGATCAAGTTCGGTAAGAGAGTGGCATCGATACACGACCATCATCTTTTTGTGTGGGAAATGGCCATGTATCTCGAATCACCCTGTCTTCGAGGTCAGCGCGCGAGATATACGAAAAATCCAATTAATAAATCAGCAAAGGTGGATGCTGACGTTTTGCCAACTCGACACTTATATAGTTACGTGTAGGCAAGTTGAAAGAACACTTGTCCAAACGGTTCTTCGTTGGTCGTATTATTAGCTCGATGCCAAATGAAATCTTTCAGCCGATGGCTATTTTAATGTTTGCGGAACAAAGCGGTGACGTTCGGTCATACAATCGATCCTTTCTTTCCATTTATTTACGGGATCTCATGATTTGGAGAAGAGAATGAAACCCAATGAAAATTGGATATACGCTGTTGTTTATTCGTATATAATGAAATCGATTTATTTTGATTAAAATTATTTGAGAAAAATCTCTAATGCCTCGCGATCAAAAGAAAACCTTCGAGAGAGGATGAAATATATATACACGAGGCCTTTTGAGAGTGGGACGTTCAAAGAAGACTAGCAGCAGCTCTACAATGACCAGTAGTTCCTTGAACGAAAATCGAAACAACGCTATCGTCTTACTCTTTTCACTTTAGAAAGATCAATTTACCGTGGCGATAAATCGAACGTAATAGAAACATCGTTTAGAATCCAGAGAAGGCTCGAAGTACTTTCAAAGAAGAAAATATTCTTCCCACGCGATTTTCATTCGTTCATTAATTAATTCAATCGGTTTACGATAGAACGAGAAAGATAATTAAATAACTCGACAATGATATACTATTGCAAAGATTTACGCTAATTGACTGAATAATTAATGATTTTATTAACGTTTCACACCTTTTTAAACGTTTCTAACAGAGGAAAATGAAAGGATCTTGCACGATCTTGTCGCTATTCAAGCGTTGAATTTAATCGTAGTTGTGCGTAGGGTGTCGCAGGTTAACGAGTTCCTGTTATCTACGTCAGGTGACGTTTTCTAACGTGCTTCCGAGGCAAAGACGACGCCCACGTGGCCATGTCTCATTTTTTTCAAAAGTATCGTACATGTGATATAACTCGCTGACACTTTGGAATCGATACTCATACATGTACCTACATACATACATATATATATGTACATATATATATATATATATATATATACGCGCGGGCGTTGCATTAATCTAACGCTTTTCTAGCATTAGACGTACCAATAGGCCATTAGAAAGGACCACGCGTGGCTGCAACGCGGAGATGTCACAAGGTAAACCGCATATATACGTAACTCGAGTGCAAGGAATGATTGTATGTAACGCGTCGTATACGATTATTTCTAGGATCGATAAGCTCTATCGAGAAAACAGACACTTGGATCTATCGGACTTGTCACTTTTCTACGATATATTTATACTCGCTTGCTTTGGCAAGGAGTCTTCCATAAAAAAGAAAAAAAAATAACGCAGCTGTTCGGTAATAGTATTTCATATATTTTCTTTTTCTTTTTTACCATACCCAACTTGGAAAATTGCGTGCGCAAGTACTGTATTCGGTTTAAATGCGAATAGTTAAATATTTTCTAACTATTTTCTATCTATCTTAAGTAATAGGGATAAAAAAACTGTTAATATTAATTGTCGGAAGTGATAGTATTCGTATCGCGATACACTTTCTTTTCAAATCAAATTGAAAATAATTCGTACGGGAAAATCTTTATGTCCGTAGTTTCTCGTTTCTTTTATTCATCGAACAGGCACTAACCAAGCGGCGGGATATCGTTAAGTTAAGAAAGTAGTTAACGTAATAAGCGAAGATAAAAAAATTGTAACGGCAGTTCCTCTTCTTTTCAGGAAAATTAGAAAAGAAATATTTCTTTTTCAAGAACAATTAGGGGTTGGCCCGTAGTTTCTTGGAAGAATCGCTATTTTATTTCGACGTTTGGATGATGGTTATCCCGTGAAAAAGAGAAACTTTTGAACGTAGCGCGACACATGTACATGCATGTATCTCTACACTGTTTAGGGGAACATATAACATCGAGTACCTCGTTCCATGCTAGAATGCACGCGTCCGTCCTTGGAGAAAGAAGTACACGAGCGTTACGACCGTTTCCCATTCTTTCCATATTATTATTATTATTATTATTATAACTATTCTTTTGTAAAACGATAAGTATACGTGTGTATATATTGTACGTGTACGAGTACGAGATATCTAAGTAGAATTTGACACGCGATGAAAAAATAATTCCCGAACTAGGCTCCGAGCTCTCGTTTTCCTTTTTCTTTCTTTTTTTTTTTTTTTTTTCTTTTTTTTCTCATCGAATGTTTTAGAAAGTGTGTAAACTTTTCCAAATGATATTCACGATCGTTAAGAACGGCTCGTTGAGGGAGAAACGATCGTACTTGTAAATGATATATTATGTATTAATTTGATACAAAAGAAAAAATAAACAAAAACAAAGAGACGTTCTCTCGGCGAGCTATCGTGAATTTCAGCGATCGTTTTCTTCGTGCAATTAATTTCCATGGAGAGATTTTTAGCCGGAGGCAACAGCTGCGCCACGAAAACGGGTCCCAACCGTGGCCTAATCAACATCGACGAAGGAGAGAGACTCGTTTTGGATGTCGTGTCTCAGGATTTTCGTGTTCCAAGGGTCGAACAAACGCATACGTTTACACGCACACGCACACACACACACACACACACACACACACGTATATATGTATATTTGAATTCGTTACGCGCGAGCTGCCTTGGCTCGCTCGTTCGCTCTCATTCATGTATATATACGGCCCCGTACATATACGTGTGTGTATATATCTGCTGGTGTGCGCGCGCGCGCGTTTGTGCTGCTCGCAAAGGAGCTCTATCGCGTGCTCGTCGTTATTTATGAGCGCGTTAAGCGCGTTCAACAATGTCGCTTGGTCAGGGCGCTTCGTGAGAGAGGGAAAGAGAGAAAGAGATGGGTGACTGGTCTCGAACGAGAAGAAGAAGAAGAAAAAGAGTAGAGAAAGAAGAAAAGGAGTCGGTGCACGGACCGAGTAAAACGCGTACTCGTAACTCGCTCTCGATATTATTTCTCTTTTTCCACGTTTATCTCGCTTCCTTTTCTTTTTTCCCCTCTCTTTTTTCTTTCTGTTGTTCTTTTTCTTTTCCTTTCATTTCATTTTTTTACTTTATATTATCGCCCGGTTCTTCGGGTGCAAATGTTTATGCGTAAACACGATTCACGAGATATGCGATGGGTGGTCGATCATAATTTTTCATTACCTACCCACCGAAGAGAGAGAGAGAAAGAGAAAGAGAGAGTCCTTGCGTTTCTTAAAGCGCTATTCTAAATCTCCATTTTTATCGGATTTTTCTTTTATTTTTATTTTTATTTTTATTCTTTCTTATTTTTTATTTTTTTTATTTTCGATCCCGCGCATATATTCTCTCATCTTTTTGATACTCGAAAATACAGTTTGATAAATGATCTATAATTTTATTTCTTTTCCTTTTTCTTCTTCTTCTTCTTCTTCTTCTTCTTCTTTTTAACGACGCATATTTTTGCCCGTAATAATTTTGTTACAAATTATTACTCGAACTATGTAGCGTTAATAAGCGAGTATTACATTTCTCGACGCTCGATACAAACAAAATTGATTTTCTTTTTTTTTTTCTTTTTTCTTTTTTCATTTCTACTCGCAAAGAGAAGGACACGTTCGATCGTGACTCGTGAGAACACTCGTTTACTATATACTGACCCCTTGATAGAAATTTATGCCAACATTCGTCTGGCCTTAATTGTCGTTAACCCCAATCAATCGGCGCCAACCTCGGTTGACGGTTTCTTCGTCGGTGACTACTGCATCTGCGACGAAGAAGAAAAGAAAGCGACTCCGCCATCGTCCATTTCGATAAGATCTTCAAACTTATCGATAAAGATCTAAATGCGTTCTTTGGACCACTCGTTAACATGGACGATAATGAGTCATCACTCGATGTTGAAAAAGCTCTGTACGTAAAAATTGAATTTCGAGTTACTCCGCAAATGGCGTTTCAACGAGCATAAATCTCTCTTTCTCTCTCTCCCTCTCTCTTTCGTACTTAGCTTTTACAATAAAAGATATTTTCGACCGTATGTAAACTTTCTCGTACGGGAAATTTATAATCTGGTTTGGTATTTTACGACCATCGTAAAGAAGATTCGAAGCTTTTAAATCGAAAGAAGCCTACTTAATACTTGGTGTACCACTTTGATTCAGCCAGGCAAATATCGTGCCCATAGATAGGCAACACTCCATACTTTGCCCAGTAATTATGATAGCGAGCGTTATCTATTAGCAGTATATACTTTTCTTTTCTTAATCTCTAGTAATGGGCAATATAATTATATATGCTAGCTCTAAATTACACTCATATATACGTAGAATGGTTTGGCTTTCACTGGTGGCTTAAAAAAAAAATATTTCACCGATGAATGATTTTCCCTATTATAATTATCGACGATGTCTCAGGTGTTACATATTCTAAAGACGCCACGTTGTAACATTTACATTATTATTATATTCATTCACATAAAATATAAAAGTTTATTACGCTATTCGAAAGGAAGAGAAGTGAGAAAGAAAAGCGAGGGAGAAAGAGAGTATTAGACAAAAATTACACGACATCGTAACCTTAACGGAGAATATATTGTTCTTTAGAAAATTATCTTTCTGTGAAATGTAAAAGATTAGTATCGTTTGACAAATTAGTAAGTTTTTCGCTTGCCTACATCCCTTTCTTTCCCTCTCTCTTTCTTTCTTTCTCTCCAGCGTACGATTATTCCAAAGAACAACGAGCGGTACGCGGTTAATTATCATTCGAATAACGTTCCTCCGTGCCGGCCTGTCGGTGACTGCCCTTCTGCATGCTGCTTCTCTTCTCTACGAAGAAAAAGAAGGAACAAAAAGAACAAAAAAAAAAAAAAAAAGAAAAGGATGAGAAAAAAAAAGATGGAGGTGGTCCGCGAGAGGAACATTTTTATCGCTTTAAAAAGCAAAGAAGATAACCGAGAGAACTCGCGTCCGTCTTCGTGTCATTAAACTCTCTCGAGGAAAGAGGGAGAGAAAGAGATAGACAATGAAGAAGAAAGAAGAAGAAGAAGAAGAAGAAGAAGAATAAAGGGTCGGTCATCCAGGCCGGGCAGATGTCCGCCTTCGATCCGTCCCACTTTCTCAAATGCAACTCTACTTTCGAGAAACTCTGACGAATCCTCCGAGCGACTTTTTCTTCTTATCATTTATTTCCTTTCCTGTGATTTACGTTTACTCGCTTATCCAGACAGAGGCTTCTGTTTAAATATACTCTAACGTTTTGCTTCCGCCTCGAGTGTTCCGCGATGCATCTTTGATACTTCAATGTTGAAATGTTGTGATCGTTGATTTCTATTATTGTTTAAAAAATTTTATCTAATTAAAGACTATCGATATAAGAGTGAGAATAAAAGTATAATTTAGTCATAGGATATTTGGATACTATATAAGATATCACGAAGCGATCTTAGGAAGATCAGTTATCACGATATCAGCCGAAGGATAGGAGGATTTACGATTCTTCGAGCAGATGGAACGTTAAGGGCCGAAACTTCTTTCGGAGATGATACTTCAATGTTGAAATGTTGTGATCGTTGATTTTTATTATTGTTTAAAAAATTTTATCTAATTAAAGAGTATCGATATAAGAGTGAGAATAAAAGTATAATTTAGTCATAGGATATTTGGATACTATATAAGATATCACGAAGCGATCTTAAGAACATCAGTTATCACGATATCAGCCGGAGGATAGGAGGATTTACGATCCTTCGAGCAGATGGAACGTTAAGGGCCGAAACTTCTTTCGGAGATTAACGTTGACGCTTCAGCCAGAATTTATCGTGACCAACACGTACACGCGAGCTCTTTCAACCCTCTTTCTCTCTTTCACAGTATCTCTCTTTCTCTCTTCCTTCCCCACTTTCCCTCGAGAAACTCGGTGATTGTAAAATACTGCAGCGAAAACGTTGCTTCCATTGCTCTTGAGGGTAAATAAATCTGAAAGTTACACTGCGAGCTCTCGAAGCCGAAAGGTTTTAGGTCGAGATAACATTAACAACGTTCTTTTTTTTTTCTTTTTTTTTTTTTCTCTCTTTTTTTTTCTTTTCATTTTGCAAATCCCTTCGTACAAAGTGCTTATACGCGCCCTCGAATAAATCTTATTTTTAGCCATTGCGCTTCCTTCCTTGGGTCATTCCGTTGACGAAGACAAAAAAAAAAAAAGAAAAAAATTTTTGACAAAAGTATGCCTCGGAATTAGCAGTCGATGCGGCTCGTTCACCGAACGATCAGCTTTTACGCATTTTAATCTCGTTATTTGCAGAGAAAGTAACGGCAGCTTTCTTATACATCCAAGAACAGCCTCCCGTTTTATTTTCGCTCGGGCAAACATAGCGGTGCATTTAATTAACGACGGTACGTTTATGTTCCTCTGTTTCAGAAATTACCGTCGTTCTTCAATACGAAGCCCACGCGGGTGGATAAATCGAACGCCAAGAATGCAAACAATTCTACCAGCAACAACATTCACAATATGTCGATGCACGAATCACACAGTGCCATCACACACTCTCATGAATTTCATGGTACGTAGATAATTTTCGTCGTTTCTTCTTCTTTTTCTTATCTCTTTTTTTTTTTCTCTCTTCAACAATTCAATAAACGAACAATTTACTCTTACTCCTTTTCACTCACTTTTTGTAAGTGATTTCATTGAAGTGAAAGTTACTTAATATTTCTTTTCCCCCTCTCTTTTTTTATTCCAACAAATCAGGCGGCAAATTCCCTATGACACCTCAGGAAGCTGTGAAATATTATGGATATCGACTTCCGGATTTCGAGCGCGCAGAGATTGAAAAATATTCCGAGATTTGGTACTTGGGTTTGTCGGCGAATAAAATTCACGGAGAGGAAGGTGCATCGCAAAACGGCGGTTACGATGACGAAAACGGTAGCTACAATAAAGTCCTGCATGATCACATTTCCTACAGGTACGTTGAATTTTCTCTTGCTTCTTTTCGAGTAACTTTCGTATGTAGAAATCTTTTCTACGTTGAAAATGCACATTTTTTTTCTTTTCTTTATATGCAGATACGAGATACTAGAAGTTATTGGAAAAGGAAGTTTCGGTCAGGTGATTCGAGCATTCGATCATAAGGCGAGTCAGTACATCGCGATCAAGATCATCAGGTATTTGGAATGTTCATACTCTTAATGAAAATGTGTATATTTCTTTTATTTTTTATTTATTTTTTTTCCCCTGTTTATTTCGGCACCCAATATTAAAGACGAACATGCGTGTTTTTTCGTAGAAACAAAAAGAGATTCCATCATCAAGCACTAATCGAAGTTAGAATCTTGGAGCATCTGAAGAAGAAGGATCTGGATGCCAACGCGTCGCACAATGTGATACACATGTTAGAGTATTTTTATTTCAGGAATCATTTATGCATCAGTTTCGAATTAATGAGGTAAATTAAATGTGAATGATTAGAGTAAATCTCAATCATGAGCGAACGAAATTTAATGAATTTTGGACATTTACAGTTTGAATCTGTACGAGCTAATCAAAAAGAACAATTACCAAGGATTCAGTTTAAGTCTGGTACGACGATTCGCTAACTCTCTGATTAGCTGTTTGAGATTGCTCTATCGAGAAAATATCATACACTGTGATTTGAAACCGGTAATTAAATTTTCATTTCGGACACGTAGTACGTCTCCTAACAATGTTATTGGATCAAAGTTATTAATAATCGAATGGGACTTGATCGTTTTACAGGAGAACGTACTTTTGAAACAACGAGGTAGCAGCTCGATCAAAGTCATAGACTTTGGCTCCTCCTGTTATAGCCATCAGCGTGTATATACGTACATTCAATCGAGGTTTTATAGAAGTCCGGAGGTGATTCTCGGTCTTCCGTACGGTACGCCGATCGATATGTGGAGCTTGGGTTGTATTTTGGCCGAACTTTATACGGGATATCCTTTGTTTCCGGGCGAGGACGAGATCGAACAACTCGCGTGCATCATGGAGGTACTTGGGCTACCTCCAGAACACATCACCAGTCACGCTTCGCGTCGCAGACTCTTTTTCGGTAAATATCATGTGAAACCAATAACTTGGATCGAACTCTCGGTCAGAGAGAAAAAGAAAAAGAACGGATATGCGTAACATGATGTGATACTTGACGAAAGAAAATGTTGCAATATTACAGATCAGAAGGGTACTCCACGATGCGTGACAAACAGCAAGGGCAAAAAGAGATGGGCTGGCAGCAAAAACTTAACGATGGTTCTCCGATGTACCGATACACATTTCGTCGACTTCGTTAGCAGATGCCTCGAGTAAGTTGTACGCAAAGTTCGCGTAGCACCAAATTGGATTTATCTAACTATATGTTTGTGAACTCGTTCTATAGCGATAATCTCTTGAAAAAAAAAAAAAAAAATGGTTTAACTTAGAATGATGCCATAGAAAATATCAAGGGTACAGTACATTGATGATAGTATATCCACGTTGGTGGGTTACTCCACGATAACTTGGCATCGGCGAGCGTGAAAGAAAAAAGAAAAACCAAGAGAGAGAGAGAGAGAGAGACAAAAAGAAAAATTTTACTTTGTATTTCCCTTAGGTGGGATCCGAAGAAGCGCATGACCCCCGACGAGGCAGTGCGCCACGAGTGGTTGAGCTCTTCTTTCTCTCATGCGAGCTCCTCGTCGTCGTCGTCGTCGTCGACGATGACGTCGTCGACGGTGAACGCGAAAAACGGCAACAACGGTAACAACAGCAACGCTACGGCAGCGGTCGTCGAAACGTCTCAATCATCTCACGCGCAAACTGTAACGCGCCTGACGGTCAGCGAAGCGTTGCAGCTACCTTCCAACATGGAATACGCTCCATACAGTCTCCTAGCTCTCTACCTCAAGCACGATAAACACATGAAGAGGGTCGGCACGTCGGAGAACTCGAAGAGCGGCGGTGCAGCGACAACGGACAATTCCAAGAGTAGCAGCAGTCTTGTTGTAAAGAGCAAGTTAAATGGTAGCGCGAGTAGCCATGCCTTGGCCAGTAGCGCTCAAACAACGACGTCCAGGCACGCCTCGACCGGTGACATAGTTTCTAGCTTGGACCCAAATCTCGACGACTCCGGAACCTTCCTTCCACCGATATTGTGAAGTCGGGTTTACGCTAGCCACTTTTAAACGTCCTCCGTTTGAGTTCGTTCTCTGCGTCCTTCCTCTCTTTCTTAGATCGAACGATTGAGCGATTTTTAGCTGGCAATTTTTCTTAGCTCCCCTCGGCTAAAAGTGTTTGGATCTAAGGAAGGCAACATTCTGGGTAGCGTCGTACATGTGGAATAGGAGGAAGAATTGAAGCTTGATGTATAATCGAGTAAGAATGTTACTCAATAGGGTAGAGGTAGTATCGTGCAAGAAGTTAATGAAAGCGAAGGAAACAGGTAAATTTAATAAAGAGTTATTTCAAAAGAGAGCAGAGTATCATCGGCGACTCAAATCGATCATTAAAGCGCGTCTTCGTCATCATCATAGCGTATCATCAAAACAAAGTCATTATCAATCGATAACGAGTGAAGTTTTTCTTAAGTTCGGAAAGAGTACGCTTTCCAATTTTCTAAGAGCAATATCGGAAAATTGATCGTTTCGATAAATCGAACGTCGTCGTTGAAATGTAGGAACGCGTGGTGAGAGCGAGCACATGGTGTGTGCGCTTAGAAATGGCTGGCCCGTGTAAACGCGCTTGACGTTCTCGATGCCAAAAGGGCTTAGAAAATATGTATATATATATATATATATATATAATTTATATATGTATATGTATTATCGATAAAATTCTCAGCCCCTCCCCCTTAATATTGAACTAGCTACGAGGTCGAGATCGCACATCCAAACGTCGTCGTTTGGCTGATCGTAGCGAAGTACATGGGATATGTCGTTATTAGATCATCGCTTGGAAATACGATGGAACCTAAATTAAAATACCGTAACGTCACTCGAGTATCAATCAAATTATTTTCTCGTTTAATGGAACAATCGTGTTCCTTCCATCCGGAATATATTTATTTAACGGTAAAGTTCACGCGTCAATATATCATGAGATTTCACGCGGTATAAATCATCGATATTAAACTGAGAAATTACTTTGAAAAATTATTCCGAATGATCAACATTATTGTTCTCTAAGGAGAGTAACTATTAATGGTTCATCGATGTGATCGCGCGATATCATTCAATATAAGCATAACGTCGCGCTAATCGATGGTCTAACGAGATAATAATTTTTTCCTTTTAAGCGATCGCGATGGCGAGCTTAAATATATTCTACTATAATTTAAAGATATCGTCCGTGTAGTGTGTCGAATGGATTTTTAATTACTTGTAGTAGGTAACTGTTTATGGCGATGAGAAAATATATAAGGAAGATAAAAAAGGTGATGTTTGACGTTTCAAAAGATCGCTCCTTTTTTATCGTCTGATTATTTTTTATCATCATGTCGAGAAGATCTGAGCAATTTTTCGTAGCTATCAGCGGCTGCTAAAAAATCGCTATCAATAATAATGAGAATTTGAAAGGAGCAATCTTAAAGTGAAAAAGAAAAAAGAAAAAAAAATAATAAATAAACGAAGCGTGCCCCAGTTTCGCGAGGCCTGTGTAGTAGTCTTATTGTGATATTAAACTACCACTGTCTTATTTAGATCTTTGGTAATAAGAAATAATAACGATCGTTAATGATTTCATTACTATTAATCACTAATATTTTCTTTATAATGAGTATCGCAAAAACAAGCTTATTGCTACAAGATTATAATTACATGATTAATGTGTGCAAGAGAGGGAGAGGGAGAGAGAGAGAGAGAGAGAGAGAGAGAGAGAGAGACAGACAGAAAGAGATGATTAACATTGACGAAGAGTTTAATATTATCTTGTAGGATTGTACAGCTTTTAATTAAGTCTGCGATATATATTCCTGAATAGCACGCGATTTGCTTGCGTAATCGAATACGTAAAATGCCAATTTCACTGAAATTTCCATATCATTTGAATTTTTCTTTATCTATATCAATAATGCTTCTTTTTTTATTATTATTGTTATTATTAATATTATTATTACTATCATCATCACTATTATCCTTACTTTTACTACAATTAATATTAATATTATTATTATATTATTATATTATTATCATTATTGTTCGTACGATTATGATATTATCAGTCATACGTTAACAACGCAATATCTTATGTAAAAAGCGATATCACACTTTATAAGATTGTACTTTAATTCACCGAGATTATTCATCGACGTCCAGCGTTTTTTGGATGTTGGCGCAAAAATCAATGAGATATCCAGGGAACAGTCGTCTTTAAGAACGCGGAATGGATTTAATGGGAGATTATAATATTTGTCTAACTTTCATGTCGTTTAGATGCGTCGATTTTAACGAAGTTCGTAGAACCACGAAAGATTGTATATCCGAGCTTAATATTCATAGTAGTATTCGAGAAAGAATTTGGCCCCCTTCAATCGAGACTCGAACGATCGAGGATTTCATTCATTTTTCTTCCGTATCTTTTTCCTTTTTCTTTTGTTTTTTTTTACCATTCGAACTTATGCTTCATCCGTCTCGTTCGATCGTTCACACTTTCATACGATTTCATACGATTTCATATAGTCGGACCAATTGTGCTCTTCGGTCCAATTAAGAAGCTTATAGAAAATAAGCTTCGTCAAATATCAGCAGCGCTAGAGAACGATCATACGACATTGATTTTTTCACCTTTAGTTTCTCCCTTTTATCTTCCTAAAATCCCCCCCCCCCCTTTCCCATTGGCTTCGAAGAAGATTTATTAGACGTTAACGAATGATCGATTCGCGTAGTATCTTTTCACGACTGATCGTTAGTTCAATTAAATTCTCGTGGACCACCATCTTTCTTGTTCGAGTGTCCATTGAAAGAAAAGACAAAAAGTAGATGAGTAAGTGATCGTAACAATAAACTCGTACGGTAAAACATAAAACAACAAAGTACTTGTAACAAGACTGACTGATTGTATACAATTTCATCACACAATTATCACGACGTAAATCAATCGTGTTCTTTCAAATTAGTGTCGTTCTCATCGCGTATATTTATACATACATATAAAAATGACAAAACGTTCGCAGATCTTCTAGGCTCTTACGTCGTGTTTCCTCGGATCTCCAATTAGAAAAGGTTCAAGTTTAGCTTATACCGCGCGTCCTATCCCCGTGTCGTTAATTTTTATCACGATTGAAGCCAATTCTTCTTTACTTAATAAAATTTCGAATCTGCGCTACTCGGAAAATTAGTTTTCTCCTTCGAAAACACGTATCGTCGTATATATGTCATTTGAAACAATCCGCGTTCGTTGCAAAAATAGAGAAAGAATAAAAATGAAGTCTTTTTTTAATAAAAAAGAAAGAAAAAAAAAAAAAGAAAAAGAAAAAAAAAGAAATTGCGAATGTCGATGATACAACGGGAATACATACATACATACGTATTCGTAATTCAAGAAAATTACCGGCATTATTTATCGTTGTTGTCTATTATATCACGCCTAATTACTGTTCCCCTTATTTTTCTTTAATAAATTCTATCGCAGCGTTCTTCAATTTGCTGTTCGCGAAATATCTAAACGAGGAAAGGGAAAGGGGGGAGAAAAATGAAGAAATAATGAATATCTTTTCGCGAGATGGGTTCGATGAACTCGAACGAAGAGAGGAGTTTGCAACTTCAATGTTCTTAGTGACTAGAAAGAAAGAAATCGAAAAAAAAAAACAGATGAAAAGGAAACCGAGCATACACAGTAAGGGAGATATCAAATTCTGTATAAATAACGTTTTAGTAATATGTGTGTATGCGCGGATCCTTGAAAAAAGGTATGTATGATGTGTGTTGTGTGTGTATGAGAGAGAGAGAGAGAGAGAGAGAGAGAGAGAGAGAGAGAGAGAGAGAGAGAGAGAGAGAGAATACAGAAGACCGAAAGAAAGAGAGAGGGAGAGAGAAAGAGTGAAAGAATGAATCATATTTACGCGTACATGTATATATAATATATCCATACATATATATTATACACACTTGTGCGCGTATTACTTTGCATATACATATTATATACAAGTATGTATTAAGAGAAATCACGCAAGCAAAAAACGAGTTAAATATTAGTAATTATCATAGAAATAATAGAACATTAAGTAATATAACCCCATAAAAACTCGGGGATACCCTAAACAAAAGCAAAAAAGAAAAAAGAAGAAGAGGAAGAAGAAAACAAAAAGGATAATTGTACAGCCCTAAGTTTTTAGTTGTGTTCATTATTATATACAGCGGGATCAAATTGTATGTGTATAGGAGACACTGTTGTATAATCTGCGTCGAAGAAACGCATTCGCGCACAGTCATATACGTGTATCCGTGCGCGTAGGTCCGAAAAGAAAGAAAGGAATGAAAATAAATTTGATAATGGTATCGATCCCGATTTCATACACGGAAGAAAAATGCGCGATGAAAGAGAGAGGGAGAGAGAGAGAGAGAGAGAGAGAGAGAGAGAGAGAGAGAGAGAGAGAGAGAGAGAGAGAGAGAGAGAGAGAGAGAGAGAGTAAAATACTTTTATCGATCCGCACAAAGAGAAAAAAGAAAAAAAGAAAAAAAAACAAGATTGCGGATGAAAAAGGGGCGATTGCTCTCTAGTCCTGAATTATTATGAACGAACGTGATCCGAGTTGAAAGGGGACGAACATGATCTTAGAGACATATATGTCTTCTTAACGAATGTGTAACAGAAGAAAGATAGGGAAGAAAAATTGTCTCTGTGAAAAAGAATTAAAAAAAACCCCCTCCAGCGTGCGAGCGAGCGTGCGTGCGTGTAAAAGGCTCTAGCGTATATCTTCTTAGAAGAAAAAAAAAGCAAAAAAAAAAAAAAAACAAAAAAAAAAGCAAAAAAAAAAAAACAGTTTGTAAAACCAATTATCGAGTTAACAACGTGGATAGATCGTCTTTAAAGTTAGATAGTAAAACTCTTGTATGCGTGACGCGTTCTAAGGAGAATAGGTAAAAAAGAAAGAAAATGAACTATCATCGTCGAGCGAACGAAGGACACGACCACTTCCTACAAACTTCACTCTCCCCTTTTATCCCTCGATGCTCTCTCTCGAGTTTCGACAAGCGACATCATCAAAAAAGAAAAAGAACATAAATAAATGCGCGACCCGGTATTCGAACGTCTTTCATTTCACTTTGTGTAGTAGGGCATCGTCGAGAGTAGAAGGACAATCATAGGAGGTAGTTGTACGCCATTTTGAATTTGCGCGTATTTAATGAGGCTTATTTCATCTGAATCTTTTTAGAACGAGCGTCGCGTAGAATAATCGATCCTGACGAGTTGTTCCGTCTTTGAAGAATGAACGAAACGTTTGTCCCGATCCTTAATCGAAGACGAGATGAAACGAAGAGAGAAAACGAAGGATTGAAGGTCATTTGTTTCTCTCTCTCTTTTTCTCTTTCTCTTTCTCCTCTCCATCCTTATAACAACTATCAACTTCTTTTTATCGGGTTGTCCTTCATCCTCCATATTTGCCAAGGAGTCCGTTGATCAATCTTCAACCCTTCGTTTTCTTTTTCTCTTTCTCTCTCTTTCTTATTCGTGTCAGTAAGAATGTGAACGAATCGAAAAGAGGAAAAAAGAAAAAGGAAGGAAAAAAGGGAGGGAGAGAGAGAGAGAGAGAGAGAGAGAGAGAGAGAGAGAGAGAGAGAGAGAGAGAGAGAGCTGCGAGAGACGATGCACGATGATTTGTAATTTTCGCGTTAAAACGACGGGACGGTCCATTGTGTTACGCGTAAGACCGTCGTGTAAGTGCGAATCGTCGTCAATTTATGCCTGCAATTTTAATTATAGCAAACAAGAGAGAATTGCTAACGATAAACGATTATGATAATGACATTAGTATAAAGAAAAGTATATGTAATGATACGATACTGAAGCATCATCATCTTTTGTATCATTTGTTCGTTTGTTCTTATCTTACTGCGTTTGTCTTTCATTATTAATGCAATACCAAGATGACTCGGTTTCGACTCGGTATCTTGTGTGTAAATATATACTAATAAAGAAAATTATAGCGAACGATGATGGAATTTGTTGTTTGATCCCAATTAACGGCAAGGATTTCAATGAGGTATAATTCCAAAGAGAATATTTCTCTATAGCGATTAGAGCAGTTTATTTAACATATTAAATACGTGATTCGTTTAATCAAAGAAAAAAAAAAAAAAAAAGAAAAAGAAAGAAAAGAAAAAAAAAAGAAAAAAATCAAGAAAAAAAGAGAGAAAAAAGGCAGTATGCTGTGCATACAGGTAAGTACAATATGTATATACATCAATAGTTGGAACAACTTTTTAACTATAAAATTTAAAACGGAGCTGTGAATATTACTCGTATACAAGCTCTGAATGCAGATCGCGAAATAATACGAAGGAACGTCGATATCGTAAAGAAAGTAGAAAAAGGATAAATGGATAGGAGAGATTACACCGAACGATAATGTATATTAGACAGACCGAAGGCACGAGAAGATTCGCTATTATGCCACAAGAAATATGAAGTACGTATTATCTCGATGAAGAAGCGTCACATAATTCGCTTAAAATATGTATCTTTCTGATAATAAAAGAGGGATATTAATGAACGATAGACTTTTGCATGCGAAAGAAGAAACATGGATAAGTAAATCAGCCCATAATGGGATCCACTTGTTTTAAAATGAGGAAGCGACTGTACGATTTTTTCACAATCGTGCTACCTTCTTCTCTCTCCTTTCTGTGTCTTGCGCTTCTCCTTTTTCTCTTCCTTTAATTGCTTCTGTTTCTCTCTATAATTTAAACAAGTATTGATTATATTCCTCTCTTGTATTGAGCGCATAAAGAGAGCATTAAAGTAAAAAAAAAAAAGCTTACCTATCTTCCTTATCCTTTTCTTTCTTTTTTTGACTTTCTAACTTTGCTTTCTCTCTCCTTTCTCTTTCTTGTTGCGCTATAGTAGCGGCATTCAAATTCTTTTCGATACCGCAATCTCCACCCCCAGCACCGTCTTCTTCCCCATCTCCCTCGCTATCACCTTCATCGGACATTTGACTATACTGGGCCAATATAGCCTCGCGTATTCGCCTCTCCTCCTCCGTGTAACTTCTTTGAATGGTAGTCGGAAGGCTCTGCGATTCAAGCATACGTGCCAATCTGACATCGACATCCTCTGTTGGCACATTAGGACTGGCAACTTCCTCCGTTGGTAACCATTCTGCCCAAGCATTTAGGATTTCGGTTACATGCTTGCTTATATTGTCCTCCTACAAAGGATATATATATCTATATATATATATATACATATATCAAGTTTTCTATCCTCTTATCAACTACTTATAAACTCCTTTGGCTGAAATGTCATCAATATAACATCCTATTGTTTCATTCTGTGCGTACAATTATATCGCAATACATACACATATATACTCGCATATGATATATTTAATAAAAAATATCCAAGTTATTTCTGATACGTTAAGAAATAAACAAAATAAAGAATAATAATAATAAATTCCATGCTAATGAAATCATATGTTACGCAAAGCAAGATATTTTCGTATTATATCTCTTTAAGAATGTACATGCCATATAAAAGCATAGCTTCTGCTATTTTTGACCGGCTAAGAAATCTCTCGTCTACGTACAGCAAGCACATTCTAACCTTACAATCCGTGCCGTCCTCACCGTTATGCCCGCGAGTATGCTTTCAAGCGCCTCGACTTTTTCATCCTCCGTTTCATCGCCCTCCAATATTCCTTTGATGTAAGATCCGAAAACACCCTCGTCCGTATTTAATGCTTGTAATTTTTTGCTTAACCAGCTATCAAACGAATTCGTCGCGACCGCCATGTTCGGCGTTTTTCCAACGCCTCTGATTGGTAACACTCGAATTGTCCTATATTACCAACTATTATCATTCATAATTATTCATAAGAATACGCTTAAACGTTATTGAATTGTTAACGAACGTTTTTTATAAACTAGAATTGTAGAGAAACGATGACAAGCTAAAGAGAGATTTCTCTCGTACGTCTTCCTACGAATGGAATATATTGAAAAATCATATTTACATACATTATTAAGATATTATTTTCATTAAACGAACAATTGAACGATAAATGGTCCCTCTATCGTATCTCGAAAAGTACCATTGATATATTTCGTACTGACGTTATTACGTCGTGTTCGTAAATCAAGAATATATTCTGTCGTACTTTTCTCCTTTTTCATTCATCAAAACGAGATCATTTAATATGGAATCAATGAAATCGGAGGATTTTCTTGTTTTCATGAAAAAATTTATTTACCATCATTTTAGTTTTTTTAGAAAATATTAAGAGATAAAAAAAAATGTGACTTTATGTAACGTCTACTTTTAGATCATACCTCTCGCAGATGGCGTTGCCGTCTCTGCTTGATAGAACACTTCTTAGTTCGTTCGCATTTTGCGACTTACTTGTCTGTTCATTTTTGCGTATTGTCTTCGCGTAAAAATGAATATGATTGCGAGATCTGCGAATATTTCACCGTATTTGAAGGCAACGGTGACGGTTGTTTCAAATGGAGGAAGAACGGTTGCTGGGACTGGTAAAGCTCAAAGACCACCAATTGTCGTTCCTGCTCCCGTCACACCTATGATAAGTGATACTATGCAGCAGAACATTATTTCTGGAGTTGTAAGAGTTAACTCGAGTATCTCAGGTTGGTCCTGATCCATTCCGTATTTACATAAATTACGACACTTTGATCTCTTCGATACGTTGAACTTTTTCATTCGATTATATAACCATCGCTTCAGTGCACATTAACTCGACTATGTAGATTTCTTTCGATAGATTATGGAAAAGAAAAAAAAAAGAAAAAAAAAGGTAGAAAATTACATTATTAATACATAATTTACATGTCTTACGCTTTAAATTTATATTTTTTTAAACAGCACCCACGCAAATACAGCAGTCTCGTATGGCTCATACCGACATCCAAATACCAGATTTCTCGCACTATCGCAGAGATGATGTTAAAGATCCATATGCAAGCAATCGTAAAACTGCTGCGTCAAGAAAAACATTTTCTTATGTTTTAGCAGCGGGTATAGCCTCTCTCTCTCTCTCTCTCTCTCTCTCTCTCTCTCTCTCTCTCTCTATTTAGAATATACGATAGATCTTACGTTATATCAAAAATGTTATTTACAGGTACTGGTTTAGCTGCCGCTTATTCGACTAAAACAATGGTCAGTGAGCTTGTGGCAACCTTAAGCGCAGGTGCTGACGTATTGGCATTGTCAAAGATAGAAGTAAATCTCGACGATGTACCGGAGGGAAAGAATGTAGCATTCAAATGGCGCGGCAAGCCCGTATTTGTCAGACACAGGTATATTCTTGTAGAAATATTTTTATACGAGTATGTACATTTGAAATGTATACAATTTGAAATTTTCCATCTGTTAGAACGCCAGCCGAAATTAACAAAGAAGGCGCAGTTGACGTAGCCTCCCTTCGCGATCCACAGCATGATAGCGAAAGGACACAAAAACCAGAATGGTTGATTGTTATCGGTGTATGCACGCATTTGGGTTGTATACCCATTGCTAATGCCGGTGATTTTGGTGGTTATTATTGTCCATGCCATGGCTCTCATTACGATGCCAGCGGAAGAATTAGAAAAGGTCCCGCTCCCTTAAATCTCCAGATTCCGCACTATACTTTCCAAGGAAACATACTGACTGTCGGTTAATGATAGTTCGGTGTGTGTAGTAATAAATTGAACATATTTCATAGAATATTTGACATATTAAATCCTTTTCCTAACAACAGGATAACGATTAATTAAATACGTATCGAGACGTTTCGTATATTACGAAATGTCAGTGTTCTAATATCTCTGCAGTCAACGTGTTTTACGATGTAGAAGTTGTACAGTCTATAATAAAAAAAAAGAAAAAAAAAAAAACCAAAAACGAAAGAAACACGCTACACGTTCATAAGTATTAATCGTTGATTTAATATAATTTATGAAATTTGTATGAATCTAAGAAGAATGAATTGCGACTGGATGAATGATCATTGATTGTAAGATTTAATGATTCAAAGGGAAAAGATTAAATATTTAAAAAGTACCATAAACAGTTTTATTTCATAAAGTAATAGAGAAACGCTTGCACGATGACTGATAAGATTCTCCGAAATGACCGATCCAAAAAGCCCGCGTCGTGAATTTGTAAGATCATTTAATAATTCCCGCTTTCGTTAGGTAGCGCTGCGAACGTTCTTAAGGAGAAACATGCTCGTCCTTTCGGCGTATGTGACAAGGGGCGTCCACGAGGCTCCCGATCCATCGTTTTTCAGTTTCCCTCGCTGCTGGCAGCGTACGGACGGTGATAAGGATTGAATTTGTCGCTCCGTCAAAATTCATTCTTGACGAATCGCGCGAGCTCGAAGAAAATTTCGAACGACACGTCGGTCCGAGCTTGCCGCTTTTTCTGACGTTTCGTAGTAAAGAGAAAGCGAAAGGGGAAAGGAGGAAGATAGGAGGAAGCAGGGAGATGCGGAATTACGATGCATCGTTCCCACGTTTCTTCTCGTCAATGGATCGTGGTATGTCGTGAAAGGGTTAAGAAGTGAGCTCGACCATCGAGTGAAAGAAGGAAGGAAGGAAGCAAAGGGATCGAGGTGGGAGGACGGATGAAAGAAGGTGCCACCGACTTTTCGTAAGTCTCCTACTCTTCTCTCTCTCTCTCTCTCTCTCTCTCTCTCCCTCTCTCTCTCTCTCTCTTTCTCCCCTTTTCTCTTCACATTCTTATTACTGTTTTATATTCCTTCTATTTTATAGTTCGAACTTTAAACGCACTTCCGCTTGCTATCCTTTGATATTTGCCGCCTCTGTTGTTTGACAGTTCTTCCTCGAATTTCGTTTGTCACCGATTATATACCTCCTCCGACCTAAATCCGCGCCTCTGAGAATTCGAAAGCGCGACGAGCCCGCGTTTCTTAGAGAGAATCTAACGTTGCGTGTATGTACACACACACACACATATATATATATATGCATGCATGTATGTATATGTATGTATGACGCGTGTGATTCTCGTGTATTATTTTTTATGTGTCGGACGCGTGTCAACGATATAGTATCGCGGACGAAAGCGTGCAATTATGCGTTTATATATCGAACGATGACGTCAAAGAAATGTTTCGTAATTCTTTTTTCTTTTTTTATAACTATAAAAAAAATTTTATTTCGCAAAAATATATCATTGTCATATTTCATTTCGTCGAGAAAAAAAAATAAAAAATAAAATGGACGCGCACTTGACTCAACTGACATCCCAGTAATCGTTTTGATTCACGTAGTGAACCAAGTTCGAATTATTTTTTCGCGTTAAATGTCACGCTCGGTACTTCGACTTTTTTTCGGATATATATATATATATATATATATATATATATATGTATATGTATATACATATAAATGGATATTCGTTCCAAAAATGCCCATCGTTTCAGAAACTGCGAATGTATATATACATATACGCGTGAAAGTGTGAAAAGGAAGTACGCAGAGAATAAAAAGTGAAAATGTCGGATATGGGAATAGTTAATTGTGCATCCATTTTAAGAATTTTCGACGAGCTTCTTCCTTTCGTTTGTTTTGCTACGTTTTTATTCGATTCTCTTTGATAATCGCTTTTTTCTCAGACTCTACAATGTACCTAGGAAAAAAGAATTCTTCCTTTCCTTTTTAATCTTTCACGTAATTGATCATAAACTTTGTTCGTATTTTTAGAAAAAAGGAAAAAAGAAAAAAAAAAAAGAAAGAAAAAGAAAAGAAAAAAACCTAAGCAACGAGAAAAACATCGATCGAGGTCAAAGATAACCGATCGCAATCGTTGAATATTCGAAATGTTTTAAAATTACAAATTGAACGCGACATACATACATTTTATATGTATTAACGAGATAATATTTCAGCTTTATGAACATTTACACGTTTCTTCCTTATCTTACGAATAAGAAGTAACGCTACAGAGGGAGAGAGAGAGAGAGAGAGAGAGAGAGAGAGAGAGAGAGAGAGAGAGAGAGAGGGAGAGAGAGAGATAGAGAAAAAAATGAAAAGTATTTATGCGTTCTGTTATAAAATGAACTCGTATTCGTAGAATTTGTAGAAAAACTCGAAATTCGTAGAATTTCGTAGTTCGTATTGAAATAAATATCATTAACAGAGATTACGTGTAATTTCATGAGAATTATTTCTCTCTCTCTCTCTCTCTCTCTCTCTCTCTCTCTCCTTTCTTTCTTTTTTTTCTTCGCAATGACAAAGCTAGTGTTTATCATTTCGCGAACGTTGGAGCTTCGAAATTATACTTACTTATCTAAGGATTTGACCGTTCTAGCTTCTAACGATGACATTCCGACAAACGCGTTGTATTGTGTATATATATACAACATTTGTATATATACTAAATGTATGTGTATATATATATATATATATATATATATATGTATATACATATATCCTTGTGCACGCTCCTCGAATGACTTTTAGAGACATATACCATGAGCCTTTGCATCTATCTACTCGGCAGTAGAAGTTACGGTACCTCTTTGTACGCATCTTTCACTCTTTCACGAGATTCTTATAATTAAGAAGAGAATAAAGAAATTCTGTTTCGTTTGAAATAAATACGAAATAACTTTACGCGAGTTTATCCTTATTTTCGTTAAGGAAAAAATAAGAAAAAAAAAAAAGAGGAAGAGGATAGAAACAGAAGATCGAAAAGAAATTACGAGTGTCATTGCATCGAGGACTTTTGGTAAGATAACAAGGACATTTTTTTCTAACAAGAGTTTTTATTTTCTTTTTGTTTTGTTCCTTTTTTTTTCTTCTTTTTTCTCTTTCTTCTCGTTTCTCTTTTCTATTATAAATATAATAATATATAACGTTAATTTCGATAGATATTTCTTTCTCCATTTATTCTTGGTAATTAAATATATTCTTGCGGTTGACAAAAGGAATAGATTTTTAAGCTGTAAATTAAATTGATTTTTTTTGAAAATAATCGATTGAGATATTTATCGTCAATCGCACGCAATGTTGTTTTTCTATATAACGCAATAAGAAAATGCAAACGCAAGAGGATATCGCGAGTTATTCGAGAGGAGGATAATATATTATTTTTTTCTCCGAACGCTCGCACGTGTAAACGTTCTCTCTCTCTCTCTCTCTCTCTCTCTCTCTCTCTCTCTCTCTCTTTTCACTCATGCCTCTAATTCTTTATGCAGCCGAGAAAAGAGAGCGAGGAAGTTCGCAGTTGGAGGAATGCACGGAAGGGACGTTGCAGAATCCAGTTCGACCTCTTCTCTTCTTCTTCTTCTTCTTCTTCTACTACTTTGAGCCTGTCGGATTTCGCTTTTGTGTTATGCATATGACCGAGAGTAGAATACATAGAAGAGTAAAAGAGAGAGAGAGAGAGAGAGACGGGGGGGCAGAGAGAGAGAGAGAGAGAGAGAGAGAGAGAGAGAGAGAGAAAGAGAGAGAGAGATAGTACACTCGAGTTTTCGGACACGAGTACGCGCGCGCAAATTACGTTTGTGCGTGTGGCGGGAAAAGCGAGTAGGACACACGCACGAAGGACCTTCACGGGCGAAGAGAGAATCAATAGACGTGCGCGTTGCATCTTTGCGCTAGCCCTCTCTCTATCTCATTCTCTCTTTCCTTCTCCCTTTTTGGGTATATACCGGCACGCGCAGCAGCGCACACCCTTCCGCTCCTGGTTCGCAGTAAAGTTCGACCTTCTGCTACCTCGCGAGAGTTCACTTTCTCCTTCTTTCTTTTATTATTTTTTTTCTTCCCCCACTCCCTCTCTCTCTCTCTCTCTCTCCACGTTCGTGTTTTTCACCAATTCGTTCTAATCTAATCGATTCGTTGCAGACGTCATCGAAAACGTAATAATCTTTCTCTTTCGCACAAATCATTCGGCCTTTCATTATATTATCGTACGATCGAAATTTTCGAACGATTCAGGTCGCTCTTAACTACAAAATTTTTACGTACTTTGAACAACGTCATTAACGCGCTCGTCACGTGACATTCATTTCGCAATATCGGGTCCGATCGCATTGGTAGCGAAGCGAACTTACTCGGAGATCGTATCTTTCGTATACGGCGCATAAATCAAGATACATAAGCGGATAAAGGGCTAATTCCCACGTAGCCGGCGCAAAATGGAGTAATTTCGTCTATTCCATGCCATGATGTATGCGCGTGCACCTACACACATACAAGCGCGCGCGCGTACACACAAACGCACACACGTATATGTATGTATGTATACATTTCCACGAACCGCGTACTTCCACCCTCAACCCCCGCCCCCTCCTCCCCCATGACATCGATCGTTTGCAAAGATACAACACCGCGTCGAGAGCATACCGACTCCGTTCTCTTTCGTTTGTCCATTGAATTATTTAAATCGAGGATCGTCCGCGTCTACGATCGACCACCCTCGCGCTTTCCTTTCCCTCGATTCGATCCAACCTCGAAAAATATTACCTCGTCATTCTCGTTAATAACAATTAAATCGATAACTTAATTTCAATGTATCTTTTAAAACAGGGACTTTCTTCTTGTTCCGCTTTTAGCCTTAATTATCTCATCTTTTTTTTTTCTTTGTTTTTTTTTTTTTTTTTTAATCGATCATCTACCAAGATAAAAGTTGACCGAAATATCAAATACACAGATATCTCTCTTCCATTGAGGATTAAAGACGAGAATTAAATAACGCGTGCGTAAAGCTCGAACGTAGAGGGATATCGACTTTAAAGATCGCCGATATCGAGGCAAGCCTGGTAGCTGCTTTGCGGAGGGTGGCGACGTAGGGCTATGAACGTGTACGCACGGAAAGTCACGTCAAGGTTTGGAGGTCGATAGGACGTTCGAAATCGAAGTCGAGAGAGAGAGAGAGAGAGAGAGAGAGAGAGAGAGAGAGAGAGAGAGAGAGAGAGGAACGAGAACGAGCTCGAGACTGTGGTGAAAGTGACGTAACGTAATAGTAGTTGTGTAGTAAAATAGTCATTCGAAAACTTGGACGGTTTCGGATGGTCTTCTAATCTATCGTAAGATAAAAGGAAAACGAGAGAGATAGTAGATGATCAAACAGCGTCGACGAAAGTGAAAGAGAGAAGGATATATAGCGATAGAAATACAGGTGAAAGTGAAGCGAAGGTGCTCGAGTTAGAAGCAACATTTGAGGGAGGAGGGTGAAAGGAGGTTAATGATTAGTTCTTCCGAGGTCGGGGGCTGTTGCCGGGTGCAGGTTGCTCTGCCTCCTTTCTCCCTCCTCTTTTTCACTTTCTCTCTTTCTCATTCTACCTCCTCGTACTCGACGCACTTCCCCTCTGACGCTCTTCAACCCCCTTCGTCCTTCCACGCTGATTCTGCCAACCTCCAAAAATTCAGGCCCTACCACCACCGGCGCAACTACTCGCTCTTACGTGGTATGAGGGCTTGCAAGGTTGTTCTCCCCTCCAGTTGAACTTGGCTCAGGACCGTCGCAAGCTTTACACGTGCCATTTTACCGCTAAATACGTTTCATATAATTTTTTTTTTAACTTGTTGCGTTTGTTTGTTTCTTTTCTTCTTTTTTTTCTTTTTTTCTTCTTTCTTATAAAATCGCTATAAAAACGCTATAAAACGCTTTTTCTCGTTAAT